GGCCATACCAGCGCACCGAAACGGGTAATGGTGCCAGGGAGGGAAAACCGTTGTTGCCATCGAGCAGCCAGAGGTCAGCACAGAGCTGGCAGGACATGTTATCAGACCCATGGTGCGCGAAAATGTACGATTTACTGACTGAGGGTGCAGCAGAGTGGCCCCAGTCCTGCGGGGAACAGTCTTCCTGTTGTATGGGAAAATGGAAAGCAGGGGACAAGACAAGAGCGAGAGATGAGCAGACCGACATCACTGACGTGGTCGAATTGTTCCCTTTTACATAAAAATCTCCGCAACACGCCATACCCGTATCAAAATCCGACATTGAACGGTTGTCGGACGACGGATGGCTGAACGACAACATTATTGACATTTATTTGCAGTCTGTGTATGAAGAGGTTGGGCGGGGCCAGGACAGGTCTTATGTTCACGTCTGCACAACTTTCTGGCACCCCGAGGTCGTCGCCTATCAAAATTTTGGGAAATTGACGAAAAAAGGATGGGAGGACGCAATTAAGAAGAGACCACAAAAATTGCATCGACTGTGCAACGAACTGCGACGCGCGCCGGTCACTGTGATACCAGTGAACCGTAACAAACACTGGATTCTTCTTCTGTTGCTGAATGCGAGGTCCTTCTTGGAGGTCACTGCGGACAGCCGCATATCCGACCCTCCCATTGGTATCGTCGTTGACTCAATGAGAGAAAAAACCGAGACGAATGGACGGCGTTGCGAACACTTTTGTGGCACTAGTACCTTCACGAGGCATCGAATTTGCAGGCTTTGACACCCGAAAAGGTTCATTTTTTGTGGGTGACATGCAGGGATCTGGTAGGAAGTAAACTTGTGCATGCGGAATGCCCGCAACAGAACAATCACACGGACTGTGGTGTTTATGTGTGTTGTATCGCTACCACCGTAATACAATTTCTTCGAAGAACCGCGACAAAGGATCTGACGGCCAAGGACGTACTGGAAGTTATCAAAACTACAACGGTGAACGAAAGAATTGCTCGCGAGTCGATGGTGAACCGGCTTGGTGCCTGTGCTGCAGTCATAAAAGGCAACGACACTTTAGCGGCTTCACAAGTAGCCAGAGCGTTGCAAAGCATAATAAACAGAAGAGAGAGCAACACTTCCATGGAATGAGATGTTGTCCAGGTCACCGAACGCGATGCGAGGAAAGTTGACTACTGCGGGCCAAAATGACATGAAATGTGGGATGTGCGGACATGATTGGCCCACAGTAGCCAACCTTATCGCAATGATGGACGAGGCAACTATTCCGATGGTTTTTTTTCTATAATTTTTTTTTGTTCCCAGATTATGCGATCTCCTGCCACCTGACAATACAAATGCAGTCACTCTGACGCACAAAGAGGTTGCTCACTTGCATGATTTCGCAATTTCAAATCTCTCTCTCTCTCTCTCTCTCTCTCTCTCTCTCTCTCTCTCTCTCTCTCTCTCTCTCTCTCTCTTCTTTTCTCTCTCTCTCTGCGTGACAAACAACATCACTGACGCACTTGTGGTTCTTATTCCACTTTGATGCATGTGGGAAAAAAGGGTTGATGGCTCCAAGGCCAAAATACGAGGATCTGTGCAGGTCTTTGAAAGCCGCGGGAAAGAAGGACAAGTGCCGGAAGAAATTGAGGGCCGAAAAGAAGCAGTCGAAAGAGCATCGCAGAAGCGGCGCCGGCCCCTCTGCGAAAACGGAGCACAAGCGCAGCCGCAAATCCGGATCGAAAGTTACAGTCCCTTCGAGTGCACGGGAGATTTCAACGCTGAAAGAACATAACGAGTCGCCCCCCTCGACCCCCGTCCGGGGAAAGCGCGGAAGCGGCGCCGAGAACCGTCCGCCAAGGGCCCCGGAAAAAAGATCGCGGGATGATAGAAGCGCGACTACGCACCGCTGAACAAAGAAGAGAATATCCTACAAAGACGACAAAACAGTGGAGACAATCGATATTAGAGGGTCTGACGACAGGCACAGCGGACCCCAAGTGGAAGAAGAGGAGGAACACGACCGTTCCGCACCAGAGAAGTCAGATGGTGCGGAGGACAAGGAACCAGGAAACGAGGGAGACGACAACGATTCTTCCCGCAGACAATCGCAAGACACCGATGAGGACGACGACAGCGACGGCAAGTCGGCCAGCGAGAGAACCGGCGAAGACCAGAGCGCCGCTTCGAAAAGAGGTGGTTCGCCATTTCCTTCGAGGACGCTGCGCAGAGAAGGAGAACGGCAGACACGCAATGGCAGCGACACCGAGGAGCGTGTCGGTGACAGACAAATCGTACAGCACATCAGCGCCGCCGAAAAAGGTGAAAAACCCCGCGTCGCACTGATTCCCCTCCCACTCCGATCACATAATCCCGTGCCCCCACGCAGTGCACGCCTTTACGCACGGAGAAGTGTCTTTGTAAACGCACGGCTGATAGCCGAATCTTCAATTTTGCAAGTGCTGTATTCAAAACAAGGCGCTGAGTTGTTAACACTCTCCTGTGCGTTGTGTCTTCTGTTTCCCACCGATCGCAACGTCACGAACGAAAGTGCGCGCAAGCGGCGGAGCCGTGCAAGGACCGAAGGACGAGGGCGCCACATTCGCGAAGAAAATAAAGGGCAAGCTGTTGCGTTCCGTCGCCGAAGCCTTTGCGTTCTCTGCGGCAAACGAGGCAACTCTGTACCCGACAGAGGACCCGTTTTTCACGGCGGTGCAAGTGACGGCGAAACTGGCAGGGGAAACAGCAGAGGAAGGGCTGCGGTCTCACATAGCAGAGTGCGGGATTCGAGCTGTCATAGGGGAATGCAACAGAATGATGACGACGATCCGCGGAGAGATTACATGGCAGCTGAAACATTGGTTTTGGGCTGAAAAAGGGATTCCGCTCGTCGGATCGCAGCAAACGGACCACCACCTCCCCGCTCGCAACAAGATGCGCACCGAGATGAAGGAGAACAAGACGTGGAGACGGAGCGGCGACGATCCGTGGGGCGCTCCCGCCTTCAAGACGGCACTCTTAAAAGTTTTTCAGATGAGGAAGGAAGGCCGGAACCTGGGCGTCACCCTGCAGCAACTGGTTTTTGCGGAGATGGTCATTCAATGTGAGATAGAACAGACAACGAAGACGACACGAGCTGCGGAGCAGATAGAAAAATTGGTATCTATAAAGCAGGCAATCGTCTCATCTCTCCGTAGCCGAGACACGGTAATGAGTTTTTTCGTCTTCAAACTGGACCGTTCCGTATCCGTGGCTGAGAAGGCAGCAACGCTCTTTCGCTCTGGCACGCCATCTGTCCAAAGGCCTGGGCCTCCAAGCACCACAATAACGGATGACGATTACGACATCGAGTTTATTCTCCCTCAGAGTACAGCATCCGGAGACGGGGATAGGCGCACCGACAGTCTGTGCGCCGCACCCTGAACAACGAGGGACAGTTTGGCGACATTTCGAAATGGAAGGGAAAATGCGGGGCAATGACCAAACGGTGGAACGAAAGGTTCTTTTTTTAGACGTTTCGAACCAGGAAATGCAAAATCGAAGGCCACAGTCGGTGCATAATAGAGAGAGAGAGAGAGAGAGAGAGAGAGAGAGAGAGAGAAAAAAAAAAAAAAAAAGAGAGAGAGAGAGAGAAAGATATGAAGACCTTCAGTTTTGCAGAAGAGAGAGAGAGAGCGAGTGCTTGCATGCACGTGCACCGCCTGAGGATTGCAAGCCGTATGCTCCATACAGTCTGATAACTACACAATTTCTGTTATTTTTGATACACAATTGTACAAGCATTTGTAATGCTCATCTTTGTGCGATTGAGTGGTGTGTGCGGCTGACTCTGTAATGGTAACATGACACGACAATGTGTTTTGTCAAGCTGTGGTGAAACTTGTTTGTTGCAGGGCAGGGTGACGTGGACTGAGGCTCCCCACGCCAAATCGCCTTATATAGAATGGGACACAGCAATCTTAGGGGCACAAAAAAGGAAGGTTGGCTACTGCGTGCCAAAATGTGACGGACCCTGCCGTGTTGGACAATTTGCGGTCCGCAGTAGTCAACCTTGTTTGTACGAGGGCAGCCCAACATTCAATCGACGGTCTCCCACGTCTGCTCCGTACACGTGAGAGAATAAATCCAAAAATTTTGTCAACCTGTGGTGAAAAGTGTTTGTTGCAGGGCAGGGTGACGTGGACTTCGGCTCCCCACGCACAGCAATCTTAGGGGCACAAAAAATGAAGGTTGGCTACTGCGTGCCAAATTGTGTCGGACACCGCCGTGTTGGACAATTTTCAGCCCGCAGTAGTCAACCTTGTTTGTACGAGGGCAGCCCAGCATTTAATCGAAATGTGTTCGTCAGACACCGAAAGTCAACCTTGTTTGTACGAGGCCCGAAATGTGTTCGTCGGCAGCCTACAACATCTCTTTCTCTCTCTTGGACTCTCTCTCTCTCTCTCTCTCTCTCTCTCTCTCTCTCTCTCTCTCTCTCTCTCTGATCATCAGTCTCTGATCCCTCAATTCCATCAGTCACTACAATCATCATGTGCCCGGTCGGCGCGCGCAAACCTTACGCTCGCCCATGTGATCTTCGTACTCCAAAACGTGCTCAGTCCTTAAACGAGGAAAACACAGCTATAACCCACCCCCGTACAACGCAAATGACCCGTAACCGAAACTGCTATTGCGCACGGTCCAATACCCTGTTTCAACACGGTCCAACACATTTCAACACATTCCAACACACTTTCAACACGTTTCAACACGTTTCAATACGTTTCAACACATTTCAACAAGGTTTCAACAACATTTCAACAACTCTTCAACAAGCTACCAACAATGGATCAACAGTTGTACGAACTGTCTGTCAACAGTTGATCCAACAGTTGAACACACAAGTTTCAGTGTCCCCAATATACGGTCAGTGTTGGTTTCCTTTAGTTTGTGTTGAACACATGGTCCCTCCCCCGGCCAACGGTTTATAGACAGTTGAAATGTGGTGTCAACATAGATTCAACGTGGCAAAAATTTGCCACATTTTTTCTTTTGTTCTTGGAAATATGGATGCAATGGATCGATTTCTTATATTCTTCTGTCTATACGTCACCTAACGATGATGGGTATTTGTTGTTTCAGCTTGTTGTGATTGAATGCAACTATGATGATCCATGTCATTTATTTCTTGCCATATGCCTTATCCAAGCATAAGTCCCCGAAACTGACAACGGTTCAAGGCGAGTGCCATCAAAGGCGATAACTTGATCCGTTGATAAGACTTGTGTGGAGGTAAGAATAGCAGGGAAAGTTTGCCTTAACTCCAATAAGCCTTACGCTCGGTCAATGGTAAGAGCAAGGATCCTTGGACACCCGCCTTATTGAGGGCTAGCCAGTGATAAGGGTAGCAGAGGAATCCTGCCTTATCAGTGACTAGTCTGATAAAAGAGTAGTGAGGTTTCAAGGACACATGTCTTATCACTAACCAATCCAACATTCTTTTCAGTGGTAAGAGTAGCAAGGATCTTTGGACAACCGCCTTATTGAGGGCTAGCCAGTGATAAGAGAAGCAGGGAAATCCTGCCTTATCAGTGCCTAATCTGATATAAGAGTAGTGAGGTTTAAAAGACACCTGCCTTATCATTGATCTACCTAGCATTCATTCAGTGGTAAGAGTAGCAAGGATCCTTGGACACCCGCCTTATTGAGGGCTAGCCAGTGATAAGAAAAGCAGGGAAATCCTGCCTTATAAGTGACTTATCTGATATAAGAGTAGTGCGGTTTCAAGGACACCTGCCTTATCAATAAACATCCTAGTGCTTAGTCAGTAATAAGAATAGCAAGGATCCTTGGACACCCGCGTTATTGAAGGTTAGCCAGCGATAAGAGTAGCGGGGAAATTCTTCCTTATCAGTGACTAGTCTGATATAAGAGTAGTGAGGTTTCAGGGATACCTGCCTTATCAGTGACTAGCCATAGGATAAGCCTACCACTAAGTGTGCTTTGACGCACAAGGGTCAAAACCCACAAGATTTGCCTTTGTCAAATAAGTTTCAGTAACAAGTGGATATATCTTGAATGGTCTGCCATACCACCGCTAACTTTCTCCACAATCCGCACTGTTCAGTCCTAACTAACTATCTCTGATTCTACTGAGAGGGGATAATCGAGATCTTGCCTCAGAGAGAGACTATCCATTTGTCTGATTTCTTTCTTTGAGATTCTTTTCCACAGGTTGGATTGATGATGTGTTTATGTGTGTTGGGAGAAGGAAGGAAACTCAAAAAGGATAATCCAGAAAAGGGATAGGAATGAGATAGTGAAAGGGATATGGAGAATTACTGTGACAGTAAAAAAGGGGGTGAACTATTATTCACTACCTGAAGCGGAAGGGCAACAACCCAAACGATTAGTTAAGGATAGGAGTTAGACAGAAAACACATAGTGTAGAAGGAAACTTTCTAGATCTCAGTTAGGAAGAGAGATGTTAAGTTTCTCTTGGACTGTGTTGTGTCTACAGGTTTCGACACTTCGGAGGACTTACGGGGGAATCCGTAAGAACTGCAATTTTGTTATCTCTGGATAACAGGTCGGTAGAACTCCGACTCAACTCCCACCATGGCTTGATACCCACACCTAAGGCAAGATCTAAGAAAGGAACAGATAAATCTTCCCCTTGTATCTATGCCTAAATTGTTCAAATCACACTCTGAAGTTTTCGAAAATGTGTGGGGCTAGGATAAAATAGAGTCAGAGTTAGGAATGAATGTTGTTTTCAAGGGTTTGGGGTGTGAGTGGCATGCTATGAATGGATTAAAGGTTGGCGCTTGTAGCGCAGTTTTGTGTCTGCATCTGTATGCGTGTATGTGTTGTTTCTTGCATCTGCACAGGTGTTGGACATTTGTGCTGTCTTCTGAATTTGGGATCGTCTGAGATATTCGGGCAAAGGGACACGATAATCATGAAGGTGAGGTCCACCGCTCAGTCAGCTCCCCTGATTTACATACATACACATATATATATACTTGTGAATGAGATCGTAGGCTTGTCGGTACCTAGGAAGTCATTTGTTTGGGACTTCTTTTGAGAAGAATAAGAGATTACTAAGGCCTTGACCCTGACATTTTTCATAAGGTCAATAAAGGAAACATAGAGTCATTGTTATAGTTAGTTAAGCGTGGAAGACTGTCCGAGAAGTCGACCTGATTAGATAGTCGGTCCTGAAAGCTAGCACTTCGGGGCTCGACATACGGGTTAGTCATAAGGTGTTCTACCGCGCGTATGCCTATGCTACGGCGATCGCGCGGTAGAACACTTTAAGACTAACCCGTATGTCGAACTCCAAGGTGTTAGCTTTCAGGACCGACTATCTAATCAGGTCGACTTCTCGGACAGTCTTCCACGCTTAACTAACTATGACAATGACTCTATGTTTCCTTTATTGACTTTATGAAAAATGTCAGGGTCAGTAGCTCAGCAGGGATACGTCCACCTAAGGGATGGTGACAGCTGCCGCAGGTGGAGGTATGTTGTACCTCGTGGGATCCCTAACCTGCCGTAGGGAGTCGCGAGAGGTATAGCACGCACGCACGGTCGGAGTTGGTATTTCGTAAAGTGACAAGGAGACTCCTGCGTGACACGACCGTGAGGTCCGAAACTAAAAACATTACTTTACGTCTGGGTGTGGGACCGACGCGCGAGACAGGTGGCGCCGTTGCCGGGGACCTTCGCTTGCCTGTCGGGGTCCTACGTGAACGGACCTGGGTTTGGTAAATTGGAGTCCTCGCTAGATGACAACCTTTAATTGTCAGCATGATTATCATTATTAATACAAGATGCCCATCGGCAACGGGTGGTGCCGTTGCCAGGGATCTCGCTTCCTAGCCGAGGTCCTCAGTGAACGAACTCGGGTTTGGTAAGTCGATCATCTAGGCAAAACGACAACTCTAATCTAATTACCGGGATATAATTTGATCAAGGATTTCGAGTAGGGATTACGTAAGTGGTTATTGCATATAAACCACTTAGGGATTTATAGAATAGAATAGGTACTAGGAACAAATAAGTGGTACAAGTAAGGCGACAGTTAGTGATAACTTGTGAGAAGGGTCGCCCTAGAGAGGGAAAAAAGAAGTATTCCATTAATAGTAACCTGAGGTTATATATAATCTTTCAAAGACCAATGGTATTGGGTCAGATAACTTTAAAGGCTCTATTGTTTAATGATTGTCCTCACATTAATACGACACCAAAAGTCGTGGCTCTGGTACAGGAATGGGAAGAGGCGGCTGACAAGTGAAGACCGCCAAGAGGCTTATAGACTTGACAAAAGAGTGGAAAGATTGGAAAAAGGAAGGTGAAGGGCTATGAGAGAAGGAAGAAGGGGTAAAGGCTCGTAGGCATCATGACGAGTGAAGTGAGTGTACCCCGTCTCCGGGGAAGATGGCGTATTTCAAATGTGAGATGCATTACGGCACCTCACCTCTGCGTTATGAGTCACGTAACCGT